CAAATTCTGAAAACTCGATTTAAAAAACCCTCAAAAACAAAGAAACAAAAAAACAGCCCAAAGATTTAAACAGGCACTCTACCAAAGAAAATATAAATAGCAAATTAGCACAGGAAAAGATGGTCCAAATCATTAAAGAATCAGAAAATGAAAATTAAAGCTACAATGAGCTACCACTACACATCTATTAAGAAGGCTAAAAATTAAAAATTAAAATTAAAAAACAACCAACAACACCAAATACTGGTGAGAATGCAGAGTGACAGGAACACTCAGACATTGCTTAGCGGGAATGCAAAATGGTACTGCCATTCTGGAAAAGTTTGACTTTATTATTTTTTTAAAAAAGTAAACATGTACTCACCACATGACTCAGCAATCCCATTTCTAGATATTACCCAAGAGAAATAAAAACATACGCCCACACAACGACCTGTACATAAATGTTCTAGCAGCTTCATTTAATGATAGCCAAGAACTGGCAAATGGATAACAGATTGTGGTACGTGTATACAATGGAGTCCAGTCAGCAATAAAAATAAATAAAACTGCTGTAGACATCCACATGAATAAATCACAAAAGCTTTATGCTGAGTGAAATAAGGCAATCTTAAAAAGCTATGTACTAGCCGGGCACGGTGGCTCATGCCTGTACTCCCAGCACTTTGGAGGCCGAGGTGGGTGGATCACTTGAGGTCAGGAGTTCAAGAGCAGCCTGGCCAACATGGTGAAACGCCATCTCTACTAAAAAATACAAAAATTAGCTGGGTGTGGTGGCATGTGCCTGTAATCCTAGCTACTCAGGAGGCTGAGGCAGAAGAATCTTTTGAACCCGGGAGGTGGAGGTAGGTTGCAGTGAGCTATCACACCAGTGCACTCCAGCCTGGGCAACAGAGCAAGACTCAAATTCAAAAAAAAAAAAAAAAAAAAAAAAAAAGCTATATACGGTAGGATTCCCTTATACGCTATTCTAGAAAATGCAAATTACAGAGAGAAATCCAATCAGTGGTTGCCAAGAGTTGGGTGGAACACAGAACTTGTGAGGGTGATGGAAATGTTCTACATCTTGACTGTGGTGGTGGCTACACTATTACATACATTCGTCGAAACAAGCAGAACTGAACATTTTTACAGTGTGAGTTTCACTGTATGTAAATTATACTGCAATAAACCTGACAACAAAAAGAGAGACATTGAATGACATTCATCCACCTCCACTTCTTACCAGGGAGCTCCCAGGAGCCTCTCCAGTGTCTCCCCTTCCTGCCCTGCCTGGGGTGGGCTGAACAGCACGGCGTCCCTACAGAGAGAATGGAGAATGGGCAATGCCCACACAGGGAAGTGGCATGGGGTGAGAAGGAACCATAGTCCCATCGCCCCTGACCACCAGCCCGTCTCTCATCACCGTTCAGCAGAGGGAGTTCAAGTCGGGTTTCTGGCACCTATTGGCAGAGCCAGAGTCAAGACACAGAGGGTGGAGAGTGTTGTACAGATTACGGATGATTCTGAACGGTCATTGTAACCTGTACAACACATCTGTGCAATCTGAGCTTCCATATAGCAGCAGCTGTCCTTGACCCGTTCCCCTCCTGGTCAGCCCCTCCTGACCTTCCCAGGCCTGTGGGAAGGGCAACGACCATTATCATCTGGCTTTGATCCCCCTCAAAGCTTCGTGTGGTACCTAGCTTTTCTCTCTAGGATATTTGGGGAGCTGAGAGAGGAAATTACTGAGTAATCACCTGTTATGTCCCAGGTCATGCTCACTTTATATAAAATATTTAAAAATAAGGCCAGGCACCGTGGCTCACGCCTGTAACCTCAGCACTTTGGGAGGCTGTGGAGGGAGGATCACTTGAGGCCAGGAGTTCTAGAATAACACAGCAAGACCTCCTCTCTCCTAAAATGTTTTAAAAATTAGCTGGGTGTGGTGGCACGTGCCTGTGGTCCCAGCTACTGAGGAGGCTGAAACAGAAGAATCGGTTGAGCCCAGGAGGTCTAGGCTTCAGAGAGCTGTGATCCCACCACTGCACTCCAGCCTGGGTGACAGAGCCAGAAAGACCCTGCCTCAAAAAAAATTTTTTTTAAATTACAAACTAATAAAAGATTTAATGTAACCCTTACAACAGTCACCTGAGATGGATGCTGTTACTGACTCCACTTTACAGACGTGGACATTGAGACCCACGGAAGTTAAATCCCCCTGCCAGGAGGAGCCTGGCTGAGGTTTAAGGCTGTGTGAAGGTGACCCAGAGCCCTCCTCTGGGACGCCGCCTGGCTCCGGGAGTTGTGGCTGTCACTGCCCCACATGCATTTGGTTCTTACCCCTTTGCTTGGGTCTTCATCCATGCAGCGAATTCCTCAACCACAGATGTCCCTCTGCTCTCTGACTCACAGCGAGCTCGCTAGCCTCCTGCCTGGACCTGACTGCGTTCGGGCCCACAGGGGGCGGGTCACACCTGGCAAGCCAGGCGGGCGAGGCCGCACCTGGGTAGGGCCCTGGCTCCTCCGCAGCGCCCCCGGCTGGAGCCCGGTGTAACTGCAGAGACCCCTGGATCCCGGCAGCTGCCTCCAGGTGACGCCGGCCTTCTGCCCGTCCCTGCCTCGAGGAGGTGACGGGTTTCCTGCGCTGCTGCCGGCGGATGAGGAGGCCGTGGCGCAGCCCGCGTGAAGAGACCCCGTAGGCCGACAGGCGTACAGAGCTCTGCAGAGGACCCTCCCTCTCTCTGGGCAGCCTTCCAAGCCTTGGCACTCCCAACCCCCAGCACTGGGCACTTGAGAGCATTGCAGCTGCCCCGGATCGTACCGGTACCAGTGCTTTGGGCATCTGGGCTGGTTTGGACGTGGGTGCCCTGGTCAGAGTCCATTACGCGGGTCAGAATCAGTGTGCGGACCCTGCACGGACTTGCCGTGGAGCCAGCTAGGGTGGGGAGGAGTGGAGGGCAAGAAGTTGGTGGGGAAGGGAAGCGGCGCCCAAAGAATACCCAGAACATCTTGTGCCTGCGAGGCAAACAGAGGGCAGTGGTCCCTGCAGACTTCCGGGGCGACGCCTGGAGCAAGAACAGGAACATACAAGGTGTTGCCTTGTGTGATCGTGCGTGGGGTCTTCATGCTTCCTGCCTGAGTTGCCAGGAGCTTGTCCCTGCTTCTCTAGGCAGCTGCCACAGCCTCTCACAAACAGCTCCTGGCTCCTCACTTCCCGTAGTCTTAATTCCAAAATCTATTGCCTCCCCACCCTCACCCCCAGCCTCCTCTCCACCTCCACCCTCTCCCAGCACCTCCCCAACTGCTTGTCTGTGTCTCTCCATAGTCTCCCCACCTGGTAGGCGAAGAAGGGTTCCTTCCTCCTGTCTGCTCTTTGATGTCCAGCTGAAGTGCCACTTCCTCCAGGCAGCCTCCCCTGGCAATGCCAGCTTGTGCTGATTGCCCTCTCCTCTGAATTCTGTAAGCATTTCCCCTGTGTACCTGCCCCTGGGTCCTGCAAGGTGGGCCTGCCTTGTTAAGAGTTTTACCCTGTTCCTCTAGGACAGAATCTGATTGATCCCCTGGGTCAGGTGACTTCCCTGGGCAATCAATAGTAGCGGGATCACATGCCCCATTTAGAGGTGCAGACTTTGAGGAGGAGCGTGGGCAACTCCTCCTAGGAACAGGCAGGGCAGGGAGGGAAGGGGGACATCTCTGGTGCAGCCTGGTGCGGTGCCTCAGGCATCTGATTACAATGAACACAAGCTGTTTCAGCCAATTTAAGGAAACTTCAGGAGGAAGAAGGTTTTGGGAGGGTTTTAGGAGGGTTTTATCCTGAAGCCAGGATATGCCACCAATCATAAGGAGGCAGAGGCCACTTTCCACTGCTTCCTGGGACCGTCTGGGTCTCCCTGGTCTCGTGTCTCCATCTCTCTCTGCCCTCCTGCATCTTCCTTCTCATCACCTTCCTCTGCTTTAAGCCTAAGCAGGATGCCCAGGACCTGGCCTTAATCTTCCGAGTCTGGTGCCCACAGTATACTGATGGTGTGAGACTCTATTCCTGGAGGATGGGGGACAGAATCGGATTGATCCCCTCAACAGAAGCCAGCAAGATGGGGTCATATGCCCCATTTAGAAGCATAGACTTTGAGGAGGAGTGTGGGCAGCTCCTCCTAGGAACCGGTAGGGGAGGGAGGAAAGGGGGGCATCTCTGGGGCAGCCTGGTTTGGGGCAGCAAGATGCTTAATAAATGCTGATAGGCTTCAGGACACTGGCAAAGGTGTTGAGCTGGACCCTTTATTTCTGCCCTTCTCCCTTCTGGCACCCCAGCCAGGAAATTGCTGCAGTCTTTCTTGGATTCCCATTCATTTTTCTTACTGGTTCACAAAAGGAGCCAAGTGGAAGCAGCAAGACCTGAGTTCAGATTAAATCTGCCAACCACCAGCTCAGTGAATCTGGGCAAGTAACACAGACTTGAGTGTCCTTGCCTGAAAAGTAGAGGTTAGAGGGACGCTTTGTGCAGTTTCGTGGGAGGGGGCATGGGGAGTTCATGAGCAATTGGAGGTGCCCAGCATCCACACGGGGACCCAAAGAGGGGCATCTTCTCGTGGTTTTATGTATCAGAAATTGGGATGACATGTCATTGGGACAGTGTCTTTTTTCTTGTATGGTGGCACATAAATAGGTCTGTCTTATAATTAATGGCATCCTAGATTTGATGAAATATGGAATATTACCTATTTGCTGATCTTGGACAAACTACAATGCTTCTGGGTAAAATATCCCCATCTGAAAAACAGGGACAACGTCCCTCCCCTTAGCCAGCCACTTGGGGCTAAAATGAGACCACATCTGTCAAGAGTTTTGCCCTCACCTCCCTCCCTGCTGGATGGCATCTGTGGTGGGCAGAGGTGGGCTTCAGGCAACCCAAGCCGTGCTGAGCTAGGACCAGGAGTGCTATTGCCACTTTTGTTTGTCTATGGAGAGGGAGGGCTCAGCGCTGAGGGCCGAGCAAATATTTGTGGTTGTGGATTAACTCGAACTCCAGCCTGTCATGGCGGCAGGACGGCGAATTTGCAGTATCTCCACGACCCATCCCTGTGAGTCCCCCTCCAGGCAGGTATATGAGGGGTGTGGAGGGAGGGCTGTGCCCGGGAGAGGAGAGCTAGGTGGTGGTGAGGGCTGAGTCCTCCAGCCAGGGTGCTTGAGACCGCCTGAGCTTGGGGTAAAAGGAAGCGAGGCCCTCCACTGGCTCGGCCTGGCAGCCACAGTCCTGGGGCCCTTTGCCACATGCCTCCCTCTTTCCAGGACGAGGGTCCCAGGGCCCAGGGCCATTCTGACAGGCAGTTTGGAGCCCAGGACCCTCCATTCTCCCCACCCCACTTCCACCTTTGGGGGTATCAGATTTGAGCAGATCTCAGAAGCAGCCTCAGAGGGAGCAGGCAAGAACGTAGAGCAGGGGCTGGCCAGGCAGCCTACCCACTGGGGCGGCTCCTTGGTCTCTGGTCCCCAGGGCTACCTCTGTGGCCTTGTGGGGCACCTGGTGGTTTGGGGCAGGGGTTGAGGTTCCAGGCCTGGCCTTGAGTCCTGGCTCTGCCACCTCTGGGGTTAGATTTTTAAGAAACCACTGAACTCCTCCGAGCCTCAGTTTCTCCCTCTATGAAATGGGGTTGACAGCATTAATAGCTACCTCTTGGGTGGTTGTGAGCCTTAACTGAAGTCATAATAGCTCATGTGTACTGAGCACGAGCTCTGTGCAAAGCCTGTTTGGAGAACTTTATGTGGATTAACTCCTTTAATTCTCACAACACCCTTTAAGGCAGAAATATAACACGTAATTCCATCCGTTTTATAAACGAGGAAGCGGAGGCATGGAGCAGTTAAGCATCATGGCCAACATTGCCCTCCACTAAGTGCTGGAGCTGGAGTTTGCACTGTGCAGTCTGGCTTCATGGCCTGCCCTCTGAATCCTGTAAAAATTGCCTGAAGGACACCATGAGTGTCCAATCAACGCTAGCGAATATTCTCAGCCCAGCCATCAGACTGACAGAGCCAACCAACCTACTGCCCCCAGGGAGGGCACAAACACCCCGGCGCCCTCTCCACCGCATTTTGGAGCTGCTATCTAGGCAGGCAGTGTGACCTCAGCCCCACATAGAGGGGACAGTTGAGGCCTTCTGAGGGTGGCTATGTGTCTAGCGAACAACGGCCCTCAATCCCGGCTTCCACTCTAACAGCCAGCACACAGGGACAGTCCTTGCATTCCGCCTCCACCTGGAAGGTGCAGGCAGAGCAGCGGTGGGGGTGGGCATTGCCCGGAGCTCAGAAGTCCTCCTCAGACAGGTGCCAGCGCCTCTGGAATGTGGCGGCTCGCAAGCCTCCTGCTGTTCCTGGCCAGCTGGGGAATTTCCAGCACACCAGCTCCTCTTGGTAAGGCCTCCCTACCCCTACCCCTACCCCAGGACCCCTGTGGCCTCTACAAGGCCTGAGTGGGCATCTGCCCAGGACTTCACAGCTTCCACTATCTCTCTGAGCCCTGGGTGAGATGAGGGGCAGACGGGAATGGCAGGAATCAACTGATCAGTCCCAGGTAGGCCAGCTGCCAGAGCGCCACACAAGGGCTGCCAGGCAGGCACGCGTGACAGCAGGGAGCCCCGCGATTACTTCCTAAAGCTCCCTCCACCCCTCGGGACAGTCACAGAGTCCCCTGGGCCTTCCCTCTCCACCCATTCACTCCCTCAGCTGTGAAGGCCCCAGGCCCAGGCTGCCACCCACACTGCCCAGCGCAGCCTCTCCTCCTCAAATGAATGTCCGGCTCATGGCTGCCCTGCCCCAGCCCCTTTCCTGGTCTCCACAGTCAACAGGAGGAGGTCATGATTCCTGGGGAGGTCTGCAGGACACGCAGGCCCCTAGAGCCACACCATTCTGTGGGTTGCATTTGAACGTTTATTGAGCTGCTTATCTGCCCGGGACCCGTACCCCCACCTTTTCTCCGAGGTGTCCTCAGCTGAGGCACATCTCCTCTAGGATGTCTTTCCCTCCAGCCCTCATCCCTCCCTCCTAACTGTCCCCTGCACCCAAGACAAACACATCACGAAGCCCAGGAGACATTTGGTGACTCTCACTGGGTAATAGGTCTGTCTGTCTTCCAGGTATCCCTGCCCAAGGGGAGGAGCATGGGGAATGCTTGGCCGGGGGAGGAGAGGGAGACTGGGGGATGCATCAAGATGGGACTGCACGCTGTGTCCTGGCGGAACAGTGACACGATTAACTTGGCAGTCTTTACAGCAGCAGCCAGGGCATTCATCGTTGAGTGCTTATCTCTGGGCCAGGGACAGTATTGGGTATTTTACATGACGATCTCGTCCCGGTGTTTTGGATGAGTAAATAGAGGCTGAGCGGAGCGATAAGGAGGCTGGCCCTATGGTGTTGGTCAGGCACATGTGACCACAAGAGGTAAAAACACTGGCTCAGATACACAGAGGTCACGGTGGGGTTCACAGGGTGGCCTGTCCATCTCAGAGCAAGGCTTCCTCCTCCGACTGCCACCTGCTTCCTAGGGAGGAAGAGAGCAGAGAAGCCCAGTGCCTGGCTATGACCTAGAATTAGAATGAGTCCTGAGCGGGTGGAGACAAGAACTTCCCAGGCTCTCCTGGCTGGGCTTCCTCAGACCCCCTCACGGCCCCAGCCCCTCTCAGGCCCCTCCACCAAGGTGCGCTCCCCCTCCCTCCAAAACCAGACTCAGTGTTCTCCAGCAGCGAGCGTGCCCACCAGGTACTACGGATCCACAAACGCGCCAACAACTTCCTGGAGGAGCTCCGGCCTGGCAACCTGGAGCGGGAGTGCACAGAGGAGATCTGTGACTTCGAGGAGGCCAAGGAGTTTTTCCAAAACGTGGATGACACAGTAAGACCACCATAGGTCCAGGGGATGAGGCTTAGGGGTGAGCTGGTGACCAGCAGGGGCCTGGAGGAGCAGGTGGGGACCCAATGCTGAGGCCCTCTTAGGAGCCGGGGAGGTGGTGGGTGCCAGCCCCCTCTCCTCCCGCTTGTGGGGGTAGCTGAGAGGAGTGAGGAGGATGCTGGCCTTATGGTGTTGGCCAGGCACATGTGACTGCCAGAAACAGAACTCAAGAAGCTCCAGTAAAGAGTGTGGGGCAGCCCTAGGCAGGGACTCCCACCCAACCACGCTGTAGGCGGTTTCGTCTACCCTCCAGCCACCACTGAGCACTACTGCCTCCCTTCCCTGTCTCACAAAGACCCAAAGACCACCCTGCTACCACCCATGCCCCTGCTGATCAGGGTGTGTGTGACCGAGACTCACTTCTGTCCACATAAAATCGCTCACTCTGTGCCTCACATCAAGGAGAGAAAATCTGATTGCTCGAGGGTCAGAAGACAGGGTCTGTGTCCTATTTGCCTAAGGGTCCAAGTCCTTTGGGGCCCCCAGAGCCCTGTGGAGGTGGCCCCAGGTAGCAGGGTGAGCTTGATAAGGGGGCTAGCTTCCTGAGACAAGGCTCAGACTCACTCTGTTCCTGGAGCTGGCTTCAACCACTAGGACCTGAAAGTTGTGCCCTGACCCGGCCTTCCAAGGCATCCATCTGTAGGCATGCTTTCCAGCGCAGGCTTTCAAGGCAAAAGGAGACACTCTGGCCTGCACCCTCTCTCTCTTGCCCTCAGCCTCCACCTCCTTGACTGGACCCCCCAAATGCTCCCCTCCATCCCCACCGCCTCTTTCCCCGTGGCCTCCCTGGCAGAGCCACAATGACCTTCTGCTGGCACACATCTGATCACATCAAGCGGAGGCTCCCGCCTCACATGCTCTCAGCCACCGCAGGCCTTGGCTGGCCTCTCTGATGGAGCAGGCATCTCAGCGTGGGGTGGCTGGTACCAGACCACCGGCAGCAGGAGCCCAGTCCTGATCCCTGGTTAGGAACGCAGAGCCTCTGCCCCCGCCCCCCCAACTCTGAGAACACTGGCTTAGGGAAAGGCTAGGTGGTCAAGGGTCCTTGAGCAGGTGCGCAGAGGGAGTGATGGAGCTGGAAGGAGGCCGAGCGACCTGGCCAGAGATTCGGTCCCTTGCGTTGCAGAGGCTGCTGTGGGAGCGGACAATCGCTAGAGCAGCGCTGGAGCTGCTTGGGAGAGGGCGTTGCGGGATCAAGGCTGGGTGCAGGGGGCGGGGGAGGCGGGCGTGGATCCCTGTGTGTCCGGAAGCGCTCCCCTCCCCTGCCCACTCACCGCCCGCACTGCCCCACCCGGGCGCGCCCCCTCCGCACACCCCGCTGCAGGCGCCTGACGCTGCCCGCTCTCTCCGCAGCTGGCCTTCTGGTCCAAGTACGTCGGTGAGTGCGTTCTAGACCCCCGGCTGCGCTGCCGGCGCCCGCGGCCCTCGGGGCTTCTGGCCGCTGACCCCCTACCCCGACTTGTGTCGCAGACGACGACCAGTGCTTGGTCCGGCCCTCGGAGCACCCGTGCGCCAGCCTGTGCTGCGGGCACGGCACGTGCATCGACGGCATCGGCAGCTTCAGCTGCGACTGCAGCGACGGCTGGGAGGGCCGCTTCTGCCAGCGCGGTGAGGGGCGAGGGGGGCGCGGGCGCGCGGGCGGCGGGCCGGGGCTGGGGCCGGGGGGCGCCGCGCCAGCGCCCGCTGCCCGCTCCCTCCCCTGCCCGCAGAGGTGAGCTTTCGCAACTGCTCGCTGGACAACGGCGGCTGCATGCACTACTGCCTGGAGGAGGAGGGCGGACGGCGCTGCAGCTGCGCGCTCGGCTACAAGCTGGGGGACGACCACCTGCAGTGCGAGCCCGTAGGTGAGAGGCCCCCACACATCGCCCAGGAATCGCGCCGGGTGCTCGCGGGCGGGGTGGGCAGGCGCCTTGACGGGGCGCGGCTCGCGGGGCACAGGAGGCTTCTAGGGAGGGAGCGAGGAACAAGTTGAGCCCGGGGGCAGCGGCAGACTTAGTGAGGTCAGCCAGGGAGCGGGGCGGCCCCTCCGCTTTGCCTGCTTGCTCTCTGCCTGGCGTCCCCGCCTTCCTCTGCGGGTCCTTGCCCACCTGGGGCCACCTCCCGGAGCGCGAGTCCAGGGGTGGCTCCGATCTCCAGTCTGAGAGGATCGAGGGCCAGGACTGCAGCGCCTCCATCTAGCCTGGCTGCATTTATTTTCTCTGATGTTGTCCGGCGGGAATCGCACTTCCCTCTTTACCCCTTGCTTCTTTGAGAGAACAGAACGCTGATTCTGCCTTCTTTTATATTTTCCCTTTTATGCATTTTAATCAAGTGTGTATATGTACGAAGCTTTAAAAAGCAATTTTACAACTCTTATATTTTAGCATGCTGTTCCTTGGCGTGGTCTTTTTTTCATTCATTTTCATTATAAGGTGGAGCTTTTTAATGTGGAAGTTCCTACTTTCTACCTCTGGGACCGTGTGTTACTTATTCCTTCCACAATCTCCCCTTTGCTTCCTCTGTTTCTTTATCTGGGCCTTCCGTTATTCAGACCACTTTCCCCTAGTTTTATTGTGTCTTCTATTTCTCATTTCTTTGACTCTGTGTTCTTCTTTCAGGGAACTTTCTACAACTTTATATTTCAATGCTTCTACTGAAAACAATTTTTGGCAAGGTTCAGTGGCTCGGATCTGTAATTCCAGCACTTTAAGAGGCTGAGGTGGGAGGAATGCTTGAGCATGGAAGTTTGAGACCAGCCTGGACAACATAGGGGAACCCTGTCTCTTTTTTTAAAAAAGGAAAAAAAAAGAGTTAAAGTTTTAACTTTTTATTTTGAAATAATTAGAGATTCCCACGAAGCTGCAAAGAAACGCCTTGTGGGCCTGTTGGCCTGTGGGGCTTTCCTGCCAGGAGGTGGGAAGGCCCTGTCATTGGCAGGACCCCAGATCGTGAGGGTTTTCCTTTGAGGAGGCTTTCCTAGAGGAATCCTCCAAGCTCTTGTCGGACAGAGGATGCTCACCATGGTGTTCGGCCCCTCGGAGCAGGGTGGGGCCAGGGAGCTGGCACCTGTGCAGGCCATGGACCTTTGCCTGACTCCATGTGGTCAGCTAAGAGCACCACTCGCTCCCCAGGCGGGCCTGGAGTCCCTAGTCAGAGTCTCTGGTTCACCTTCTGCTTGCAAGGAGAGGGGAGTCAAGCCAGTGAGGAGGGCTCTCGCAGTTTCTCTTAGAAACTCTCAGTGCCCCCCCCCCCCCACCAGCACTGCCTTCCCGGAAGCCCCATGGCCTCCTGTTTCCGTGGTCCAATCCTTCTGCTGAGATTTTGCTTTCCAGTCTGCCAAGTCAGTTACTGTGTCCATTCATCTGCCGGCAGCTTCTGGAATGCGGGTTGCTGTTGTGTCCTCTCCATTCTTTTGTCATTATGCAGCTCCCCTGCTGATGGTGCCCCATTGCCTCTTTAAGTCTTGCTATCTGGACTTGGCATTCAAGGCCCATTTTCAGCAGACTCAGGCTGACCTTCCAGCCCTCCGTTCTCCACGGTGTATGCGCTCTCTTCTTGGAAGGGAGGCCTCACAAACGTGCCGTGCCGTGCCTACTGTAGGAGCTCTCCAAGAATGCTCACCTCCTTCTCCCTATAATTCCTCTCCTCTGTGAGGAGCTCGGCAGCATCCCAGCTAATGTATCCCAGGGACCACCCCCAATCTTGGGTTACAATGAGCTTTCAGGAAGTTTAACGACCTATGTAAGAACCACAGCCAGCAGGTGATGCGGCCTGGTCTGACTCTTGCTATTCGGTGGCACTGTTTGTTGACTGACTGACTGACTGACTGGAGCAGGGTTGTAGCTAATACTAATGGAGTGGTCTAAGTATCGTTGGTCCCTTGAACCCTGCACTGTGGCAAAGTGGCCTGTAGGCAGGAGGAGGACAAAGACAAGAGGGCAGTCTCCGGAGGAGTGCCTGGCAGGCCCCTCACCACCTCCGCCTACCTCAGTGAAATTCCCTTGCGGGAGGCTGTGGAAGCGCATGGAGAAGAAGCGCACTCACCTGAAACGAGACACAGAAGACCAAGAAGACCAAGTAGACCCGCGGCTCGTCGATGGGAAATTGACCAGACGGGGAGACAGCCCCTGGCAGGTGGGAGGCGCTAGGTCCGGGGTCACTGAGCCTCTCCCCGAAGCTGTGCTCAGGGTGCAGAAACCGAAAGGGAAGCTGCCATTGCTTGCAGGGGACGATAAAGGTGGGGGATACTTCAGGGAAAGAGAGCCGCAACCTGGGAGGAGAGGAGCAGCCGGGGCGGGTGAGGGGAGTGGCATGGGGCCGTGGAGCGGGTATGCAGGAGGGAGGGTTACAGTCTCTAAAAAGAGCTGGAAAGACACTGCTCTGCTGCTGGGATTTGAGGAAGAAGCCCACCGATGGGAGAGGGCTAGGAGGGAGGGCTGGGCCTGCGTAGCCCTCCAGCCTGCACGTGGGAACTGACACTTACTGGGTTCCCCTCTCTAACAAGCATGGGGGTGATAGAAACCAACAAGAGGGGGTATTGGCCCTGGGGACTCAGACGCCGTGAGGGTCAGGACCCCAAAGACCGGCCAGCCCAATGGGGCTAGAGCCAGGAAGGCCCTTCAAGAGAGGGGCTGTGGGAGGCCTCAAGGGAATACCTAGGCATCCTGGGGGCCACAGAGTCTTCCCGGAGGACACAAGGCCTGGCCAAGGCTCCAAGGATGAGAGGAGCTCGCTGGGTGACACTGGGTATGGCTGAGGGTGCCTGGAACAGCCATGGTACAGGAACAGCATGGGCAGTCAGGAAGACACCCTGGGACAGGATAACGCTGTAAAACGTGACAAAATAGAAAATGCCAGAAAAGGGCCTAGGCCTATGCCCACGTGACCAGGGAGCCCAGGAAAGTGCAGATGAGACCCAGGTGTCCCGAACTGGAGGCTGGCAGGAGGCAGCCCTGTGATGTCATCATTTTGCCCCATTCTAGGTGGTCCTGCTGGACTCGCAGAAGAAGCTGGCCTGCGGGGCAGTCCTCATCCACCCCTCCTGGGTGCTGACAGCGGCCCACTGCCTGGAGGACCCCAGGAAGCTCCTTGTCAGGCTTGGTATGAGCTGGAGCCAGGCAGGAGGGGGCTGCCAGAGGCCTGGGTGGGGGGACCAGGCAGGTTGTTCAGGTTTGGGGGACCCTGCTCCCCAGGTGCTTAGGCAAGAGGCTTCTTGAGCTCCGCAGAAGGTGTTTGAGGGGAAGAGGCCTATGTGCCCTGCTCTGCCCACCCCTGTGACACCCAGTATTTTGCAGTAGGGGGTTCTCTGGTGCTCTCTTCGAACCTGGGCACAGTCACCTGCACACACGTGTTTGTGAGTGAGGGGCTACACAGACCCTGCCCTCTGCACTCCCACTCATGTGGAGCAGGCTCTGGGTGGGCCTCAGCACCCTTGGGTTCAGAGACCAGCAAGGCCTGGCCTCAGGGCTGTGCCTCCCATGGACGGATGGGGATGGGGCTGTGCAGCGGGAATCCTAGCATCTGCCAAAGCCACGAGTGGGTTGGAGGCGCCCAGGCATCGCCTTCGATCTATGGCAATTTCTGGAGTAGGGGGTCTGGCTCAACTCTTTATGCCAAAAGGAAGAAAAAGTATACTGAGAATGACCAAATTCACATTTCCTACAGCATAATCTATAGCCAGTGGCCTCCCGTGGGGCTTGGCTTAAAATGTTCAGGTGCTCTTCCCCAGGAACCATCAGTCCGGCCTGAGAGGACCCTCTGTCTCAAGTGGGACCTGCCCTCTCCTCCCTGGCAGTGCTGTGTGCTGGGGGTCCTCCCCTCCCGGTCTGCTGCTCCTGCCCTGGTCTCTCCAGCAACCATTACTCCACATTCCTCTGTGGCTCTGGTCTGTGTCTGGGGTTTTCAGGGGCCTCGGGCTTCCCTGCTGCCCATTTCTTCTCTGATTCTGGTCTCAACTTCATGAGTCCTGAAAATGGACCAGCATCCTGCCCCTTTGGGAATTAACACCGTTGGCCACTCCTTCTGGCAGGAAAAGTCACCATGGATAGGGACCCACAGCATAGACGGGTGGCTCCGGGCAGTGCCTGGGATGCGCGGGGGCACAGTCTCCGGGATGGTCTTTCTTCAGGCCTCCAGCCCAGGCCTGCAGGGGGTACAGCAGTGGGTGGGCCTCAGGAAAGCGCTGTGGGGAGAGGCTCCCCGCAGCCCACTCTGACGGTGCCCTCTGCCCTGCAGGGGAGTATGACCTGCGGCGCTGGGAGAGGTGGGAGCTGGACCTGGACATCGAGGAGGTCCTGGTCCACCCCAACTACAGCAAGAGCACCACCGACAATGACATCGCGCTGGTGCGCCTGGCCCAGCCCGCCACCCTCTCGCAGACCATCGTGCCCGTCTGCCTCCCGGACAGCGGCCTCGCAGAGCGCAAGCTCACTCAGGCCGGCCAGGAGACCATCGTGACGGGCTGGGGCTACCAGAGCAGCCGAGAGAAGGACCCCAAGAGAAACCGCACTTTCGTTCTCAACTTCATCAAGATTCCCGTGGTCCCGCGCAATGAGTGCAGCAGGGTGATGAACAACATGGTGTCTGAGAACATGCTGTGTGCGGGCATCCTCGGGGACCGACAGGACGCCTGCGATGGCGACAGTGGGGGGCCCATGGTCGCGTCCTTCCGCGGCACCTGGTTCCTGGTGGGCCTGGTGAGCTGGGGTGAGGGCTGTGGGCTCCTTCACAACTATGGTGTTTACACCAAAGTCAGCCGCTACCTCGATTGGATCCACGGGCACATCAGAGACAAGGAAGCCCCTCCGGAGAGCCAGGCGGCTCCTTAGCAACCCTCCCTGCTGGGCTGGGCTTTTGCATGGCGATGGATGGAACATTAAAAGGGTGTGTAACAAGCACATGGGCCTGCTGTTCTGTCTGTCCTTCCACCCCTCTTCTGGGCTGTTCTGGAGGGAAGTAACATTTATTGAGCACCTATTGTATGCCACATGCCTTATATTCATAAGAACTTTAACTCCCAGACCAATTCTGTGGGGTGGGGAGGAGCAGATCCAAGTTCTGCAGGGTCTAAAGCTGTGTGTGTTGGGGGGAACACTCTGTTTATGAAAAAGAATCAAAACCACGACCACAGAGGCGCTAGAGCCTTTCCCAGGGCTTTGGGAAGAGCCTGTGCAAGCTGGGGATGCTGAAGGCGAGGCTGGACTAGCTCTCCAGCAAGCCCAGGTTTGCAGGTAGATGGGTTTAGCTCATATCACAGAGGAGGAAACCGAGGCTCTGAGAGGTTTACATGGTGAAGCCAGGATTCAAATCTAGGTCAGATTCCAAAACCCAGGTGCTTTTTTCTTTTCTCCACTATCCTGGAGAACAGCTCGGTGTGGGGACCAGCATCAGCTCTGCCGGGGAGCAGCCAGAGACCTATAAAGTGTTGGATCAGCTCAGAAGGAGCTCACAGTGTCACTGGGGCAGCTGTTTCAGCAATGTTACACCATCATAAACAGCAGAAAGAAAGAGTCTCTGGCTTAACCTGGCCTGATAGGCCTCATTGGATGAGACAGAAATAAGTCCAGGATACTCTGATTTGAAATCATTAAGTACCTTATAAAAGGAAATGGTGGTAAGATAAAGCTGAGAAAATTCATCTACAGCCCAAAATTAGTCTAGCTGTCTGTGTGGCCTCCGGCAAGTCTTTTCTCCTCTCTGAGCGTGGTGGTTAATTTCAGGTGTCGATTTGACTGGATGAAGGGATACCCAGCTGGCTGGCGAAGCATGATTTCTGGGTGTGTCTGTTAGGTGTTCTGGAGGAGATGGGTGACTGAGTCAGGGGACTATGTGGGGAGACCCGCCCTCAGTGTGGGCGGGCACCATCCGATCAGCTGGGGACCCAGATGGAATAAAAAGGCAGAGGACAGGTGAATCCTCTGTCTCTCCTGGAGCTGGGACACCCTTCTCCTGCCCTTGGACATCAGCTCCAGGTTCTCCAGCCTTTGGACCGTGACTTATACCAGCGGCCCTCCAGGTTCTCAGGCTATTGGCCCTGGACTGAGGGTCCCGCCATAGCTCCCCTGGTTCTGAGGCCTTGAGACCCGGACTGAGCCAGGCCGGCTTGCCGGTCTGCCATGGGACACCGCAGCCTCCATGATCACAGAAGCCAAGTCCTCTAATAAGCCCCTTCTCATCTATCGGCATCTGTATACACATCCTGTTGGTTCTGTGTCTGGAGAACGCTGACTAATCCAGAGGACATCAGTAAAATGAAGGGATTGGATGACAGCAGCGATTCTCCACCCCGGCTGCACATTTGCATCTCCTGCGGAGCTTTTTTTTTTTTTTGAAGGGAAAAGGTCAGTTTTATTTACAGAACAGAACAATAGCAATAACAATGAATGAATAGCACCAAACCAACATCAGTCTTAACACAAAATATTACTTTTTTTTTTTTTTTTTGAGACGGAGTTTCGCTCTTGTTACCCAGGCTGGAGTGCAATGGCGCGATCTCGGCTCACGGCAACCTCCGCCTCCTGGGTTCAGGCAATTCTCCTGCCTCAGCCTCCTGAGTAGCTGGGATCACAGGCACGCACCACCATGCCCAGCGAATATTTGTATTTTTAGTAGAGACGGGGTTTTACCATGTTGACCAGGATGGTCTCCATCTCTTGACCTCGTGATCCACCTGCCTCGGCCTCCCAAAGTGCTGGGATTACAGGCTTGAGCCACCAGGCCCAGCAAAATATTGCTCTTGACCTTTTCAATGAGCAGCTTTTTTCTACTCAGCCAGAAATAATATTCAATTTTGTATGAAAATTACTACTCACAAGTGAATTAATATATTTTTGGAGGTAAATCAGGGGATTTAACATTACTATTATCAATATTAAATTTTGTTTTACATAAACTAAGGAATCCTCATGTTAACCCACAATATCAGCAGTACTCAATTTTTAGGTATTTTAAATGACATAAAAATTGCCCACACATTCAACTCTTAGTATAGGCCAGGAGGAAATTAAGGTACCAATTATAAAACCTGGGGCACCAAGAGGTTAAAGGGGCAAGATCGGAGAAAGACAACCGGCAAAACAGAGATTTCTCAAGCAATTCCACTTCCCCAGGTCATATTCAGACTGGAAGCCTCCCTCGGGCGCGGTCAGAGGCCGAGTTTGCCTGAAGTGGCTCGCCTTTCAATGTGGACGTACATTTCTCCTGTGGTACCACATTCATTAAAATCCTTGAGGATAGTCTGGGAGTTCTGCATGGCTGGGGAGACCTTGGGAAACCCACAATCATGGCAGAAGGCCTCTCTCCACAGGGCAGCAGGAGAGAGAATGCCCAGAGAGCTTTTAAAAACACTGACGTCCAGTCCCACCCCCAGAGGTGCTAATTTAACTGACTGGGCTGGTGGGGGGACCCAGACATTGATATTTCTCCAACTCTCCATTTCATTTTAATGTGTTCACTGGGGTTGAAAGTGACTGGGTCAGGCCAGGCGCCGTGGCTCACACCAGTAATCCCCGTGTTTTGGGAGACTGAGGCAGGAGGATTGCTTGAGCCCAGGGTTCGGGGCCAGCCTGGGCGGCATAGGGAGAACTTGTCTTGATTTAAAATAATAATAATAAATAAAAATAAACTAATAGAAATGAACCAAATAGTCTTTAGGGCTCTTCTTCTCAGGTGAACTCTAGTTCTAAAACTCTCCAGGCCAACAGGGATAAAGTCAGTTACCTGAGAAAGCACAGCACAGCTCCATCCATAGTAAAATAACAGAGGACTCGATCTGTGCTTACATGCAGCTTGTCAGGCTGCAGCTGCCGCTTACCGACCAGAGGGGACACCAGGACCCACAGAGTTAGTTATCTGTGTGCGGCCACAAGAAAAGAGACCTGCCCAAGCCTGGGCCTGTGGGATTCTCCTCCTTACTGACCTGGAGGAGGAATAGGTGGGACTGCCCGGAAACGGGAGCAAACCGTGCCCAGGCTGGAAGCGCCTGCCAAATGGCATGGGGCCAGTGCCCACCGCACTCGCAGTGGAGGCGACAGATCGAGAGAATGACAGAGTGCTGTCAGTTCTCGCCTCTGCCGAAGATTCCCGGGTGGGCTGCTGTCGGGATGGTGACCCTGCCTGACCTTGAGCACTTCTGGCTTGACGGCATGGGGAGACCGACCAACCGAGCTGCTGCCCAGGGAAACTGGAGACAATTAGAAAAACAAACATTTCAGTCCTGGAAATGGCCCTGAGGGTAAACGGAACAAGAACAAAAATGCAGCTTTTAAACCAACAGAAGAAAACGTGATGTGCCCAACAGAAAGGAGGGGAATGAAAATCAGCAAGAAGCACATTTAAATCCACTGCACATCTCTACACAAACAGGAACACATGGAAACCCAGGTTAAAAGCACAACACCACCCCAGTCACTTTAACGAAAGAAAATGCTTTGACATACATTTAACAAAACATGTATCAGATCTGTGTGACAAAATTTACAAAATGCTGGGAATGTCCGTTCTCCCAAAATTGATGTATAGATGTAATTTCCACCAAAATCCCAGTATGTCTTTTTCTAGACATAAACAAGGTACTGTGTGTGTGTGTGTGTGTATGTGTAAAGGACCTCAAATGACTAGAACGTTTTAGAAAGCAGAATTAGGAGAAATTGCTCTACGCAGCATCATGGCTTGCTGAATACCTACAGCCATCAAGACTACATGCTGCTAGTGGAGGAACAGACGTGGATGGAGCAAAATGGACTTTTGACAAAGACACAAAAGCAATTCAATGAAGGAAGGAGAGAGGCTTTTCAACAAAGGGTGCTGGCACAGTGGGGCATCAAAAAAATGAACCTCAACCTCTATCTCTCAAAACGTACAAAAATCAACTCAGGATGGAACTTAGGACGGGCATGGTGGCTCACGCCTGTAATCCCAGCACTTTGGGAGGCCAAGGCAGGTGGATCCCCTGAGGTCAGGAGTTCGAGACCAGCCTGGCCAACATGGTGAAACCCTGTCTCTGCTAAAAATACAAAAGGTACCCAGGTGTGGTGGTGTGTGCCTCTAATTCCAGCTACTCAGGATGCTGAGGCAGGAGAATCATTTAAACCCATGAGGCAGAGGTTGCAGTGAGCCAAGATCACGCCATTGCACTCCAGCCTAGGCAACAAAGTGGGACTCCATCTGGGAAAAAAAAAAAAAAAAAGGATGGAACTTAAATGTAATGTAAAACTATGAAACCAAACGAAAGTACAGTTGATGGAAACTGTGAAGCAAGGTGGAAATAATAACAATAAATGTAATTAAGTTAAGCTTATTGATTAAGAAAGATAAATCTAAGAATAAAAAAATCAATGAGACAATATATTGCTTAAAGACAACTTAAAAAGCACCAGAAGACTGAAAATAAAGAATGCTAGAAATTCCATGCAACTTCGAATGAAAAGAAAGCTAAGATAGTGATTCTGGTAACTAATACAATGGAAACCAAGAAAAAAATACCATAAAGAACAATGATGGACATTATATACAGAAAAAAATCACTCACATATAAAGATATAGTTATTATGACACAATATGTGCCCCTGCAACATAAACTCCAAATACTGTGTGTGACATTTGACAGAGGAGAAGGGAGCAATAAACAACTCTTATTTGTATTTGTATAAACCAATAAGTCAAACCGATTTTTTTTTTTGAGACGGAGTTTCGCTCTTGTTAGCCAGGCTGCAGTGCAATAGCGCGATCTTGGCTCACCGCAACCTCCGCCTCCTGGGTTCAGGCAATTCTCCTGCCTCGGCCTCCTGAGTAGCTGGGATTACAGGCACGCGCCACCATGCTCAGCTAATTTTTTGTATTTTTAGTAGAGATGGGGTTTCACCATGTTGACCAGGATGGTCTCGATCTCTTGACCTCG